GGGAAGATAGTCTATCTTCTGATCTTCCAGAAATGGCACGGTTTTTTTTCGGCATCTCATTTTTGGCAAAAATTTTTAATGATTTCCGTTAACTTCTTCTTAAAAAGTATGCTTATTTTGATAAAAACGAAAAATGATTTTCGTTTTTTCTCAGTTTACACTTTCTCAATTGCACAACCCAATTTTCTCAGTGGATCTACGTTCTATATACTTGAGTTCTTTTTTTTGTTTGAAAGAGCATGTCAAGATGCAGAGCATCACAGAGTCTTTTTTTTTTATTAAGCTTTGATTTTATTATATATACAAACAAATATATGAATGGACACTCACTTTTGGCACGTTTTTAAAGCATTTTTTGAGACGTTAAACTTATTACTCGTTTTTTTCTGCATAAAAAGTAAGAATATAAAAAGAAGGACTCTGTGATGCTCTGCATTCTGACATGCTCTTTCGAACAAAAAAAAATGATAAGTTAAAACTTGATCGATAGTGGTGTTATACGCATTTGTTAAGTGATAATGACTTTTGAGACTTCCTGAATAATCACTTCAAAACTTTTGTAAGGTGAACATTTTATCTAAGTTTGTCAATTTTCCAACTTCTTAGAATTTTTTTTACGAAAACTACTTATTTTTACGGGACTCGGAACCAGAATCGATAACTCTTGACTTTGCTCATCTCTACTCACGGTTCATTGCTCTCAGTATCGGATCACACTACCATACGCACATGCATTGCTCGATGATGATATATTCTTGATTTCCTCCAGGTATATTTATTTTCTGTCTCTGTCTTTTATCGAAGTTATATATCCAATAGCAATCGATGGATATTATACGTTTAGTTTCGAGAAGGGTCTCTTCTGACGTGTGATACTTCATGTAATTGGAGAAAAAATCATGGCTGGATGATAGAGCAAATTTTGTTCGTTCTGTTATTTATTTTCACCTGACTTAAGACGAAAACAAACACGTGCACACAATTTTAACGATAAAAGAACCAAATATAAGGTCGTTTTTTATTGAAGTTTTGCTTTCCACATTAATCGAATGTCGCCACTAACCCGTTTGGAAGATTTATCAAATGAACTCTTACTAGACATATTTGATTGGCTATCTCCTCGTGAATTAATGATCAGCATTTTGGGACTCAATCAACGCTTCAATCAATTGGCCTTGTATCCTTGCACTGATATTATCATTCGTCGGAAAAATAATCGTTTAGATCCTATGCTATTCTACGGTGTTATTTCTTTGACACGCATTCGTAGCATTACAATCATTGGTCCTCTATGTGGTACTTCTATCGAAGATGACCTCTGCTCATATTTGAAATCATCACCAAGTCCATCACTTGTATCACTCAGAGCGCTCAAATGTCTCAAAATAAATCCAATGATCATCGCAGAAATCCATCGTCACATACCTGATCTCAATCAACTTGAGCACATTTATCTGGATGATGATATGCAGCTTAACAGAGATCAGTTCGTTGCTCTGTTAACCGGTCGATCCTTGAGAACATGTCACATTGCATTTGGTTGGTTCAATCTAGAATCATTTCGACCATCTTTACGTTTACAGCGTTTACATCTTACTCAGTGTAACTGGTCAGGACTGATACCATTCATCGCTCAATCAGTTGTTTACCTTCACGTTTCGATACCGACTTGGACTTATCCAACTGAAATGGTTCAAACTAGACTGAAATACGTACATTTGACCATAGCGAAAGTTTCCACCACAATACTTCCACAAGTAAACGCATTGTTTAAAGTCTGTCCGGATCTGCGTTGGTTATCCATCGAAATTCATCATAATACTTTCAATAGAATCGAACTTTTCGAGCCTTATGTTATCTGCAATATAATCCGAGATCTACCATGGTCACCATTGATCCAACGAATGCGTTTTCGTATCAGCGGATCGACCAAAATCCTATTGAAATCAAAGAAAAGTGAACAATGCGCTGCTTGGATAAGGCAAAATCTATTTCAGTACGCGAATATTCAAGAGTTCCACGAGAAAATCGATACTATCGAACTAACTCTTTCAAATGCCACTCAAATTAAAAGTTTGTATAAGTGTCGGTGATGACATACTTCGACGCTAAACGGAGATTAAAATCTTCCTTCTACTCTAATCGGCTTCAGACATCGGTCAAGATAGCAGAACTATGTGGTCTGGATCCTATGAAGAGCAGTCTTTTCTCTCTTTTGTAAATTTATACATTATCTTACACAGAAATTTAGAAATAGGACGTGGATGTCGGATGTAAGCGTCAATGTTAACTTGTATAGATTTAAGAAGATGAAAACTAGTGAATTTAAATTCGAATCAAGAATTTTTAGGTTCTATATCTTAGTTAAACAGTCGAAAGCAAAAGCTAATGAATACAGTCATCTCTCCACTTAGACAGTCGCTGTTTTAATAATAGAGAATATGTTTGAAAAACGTTTAAAAAAGTCTTTTACAATTCTTCGAGCCATTTCATGAATGTCAAATGTTGATAATGTCTTTTTCAGTGTTCGAAATGATATTCACTCTAGCTTTTGATGAAAATAAATGACTTTTGATTGTATCATTATTGGATATGTCACATTTAGTATCTGAGGATGTTTTGCATCTATCGAGTTCAAATAGTATGAGCAGATTGGATTCGAATTTAAGATAAAGATCAACATGAGTCGTCTGAAACTTATCGAAATATAGAATAGTATATATTTCTATTCTAAGAACATAGTCAAAACGTTCAGTAAAATTGGGATGAAACCAAAAAGAATCAACGTCACTATTAAGAAAGACGTTCACTACGAACTACCTTTTCCATGTTAAAAACTGATTTGTTGATATTATTCAACATGTTATGACTTCATTATCAAAGAATCATACGAGACAGTATTTCTCTTGAACAATTCGATATTTTTTATAAAATTTGAAATTTATGCATATTATTATTTTATGTCAAGTAAAATCGTTTTATTTTTTTTTAATGCTTGAAATTGACACATTTCCATTGTTAATTTTCCGAAAACTTGTTTTATTTATTGCTGATATGTGATGTGGTTACTTAATGTTTATAACATGCTAAGGATATTAGTAGTCTTTAAAATTACATCCTGCCTTCTTTATTCGAGTGACATGATAAATCAATGATTTACACAGCAACTTACAATATTGAACGAAAAATGATTTCAATCAGGGCATTTAGTTTCAAACTATCAAATAGATCCACATGAGAAGAAAAATTTTATACTGAATGTCTCAAGTACTCAAGATATTGTATTTAGCATTTCAAGCAAGCATTGTGAAAAAATCTAGCAATTGTTACATTTATCAATATAGTTTTTATCGAGCACAAGACATTTATTTGTGGCATAAGCAATCTTATATAGAACTGCCTTTGTAGCACACATGCATATGGACATGATTTGACTTATCATTCCTAGTAATACACAAACAATCCATTGATAAAAATTGATGAAAATGACCGATATTACCAAGAAGGGCAATTTTGTGATTGTTGGAAAATTCAGAAGACAATCGATTACTCACAGGATTTTTCTACCTAAATTCTTCGAATGTTTACAAATTCAATTGCTGAAAATTTCATGTTGACTGGTGAAAGTCATTGTTAAACATTGCCAATTTTCTATAGAACTAGCCATCTAAGTTGTCAGCTTTCATGTGCTCTACTGCATTCTCTTTCAAGTTAATGTCTCTATCTATCCATCTTCACCCTTATACTTTTGTCACTTTAGCTCGAGTATGAGTTTCACTATTTCGTTATTTTCACACTAGCATTGAAAACTATATCACACATCCTCATTTATATCCATACACATACATACCCTTACTCTGTATCAATAAGTATCCCTAGAAAAAGGCGATTGTACCATGGATGTATTTCATAGTATTAGAGCCAATATATTTTTCAATAAATATTTGACTTTTGTAGGAAAATGTTTCAAAGCTAGTTAACTCAAGGTCTTGTTGAAAAGAGTTTTTTCCTGATGGTCTTTTTCCGCTTGTTAATATTGTTCGCATATCATACCAATATGATATTTAACTTTACATAATATATAATAGGTTTCCTTAAACTGGTCACAGTAATAGCTCAATCAATATTGCAATGGATGATACACCTAAATAAGAAGATAACATACTATTATCAATACTTTTATACTAAAAAAATACTACCGAAGTAACAATTAGAGAATACAAAACTAAAGAATTTGTCTTCGGCTAATATCAACGATTGATTCTACTGTATGGATGAGTAGCTCAATAATTGCTGACTGAAAGAAAAAGTTCCACTATTGAGAAAATTCCTTGGTATTGATGTTTGCACAATTTCATCCTAGCAACGATGGAAAAAAGATTAAACAAATTTATAGTATTGCTCAGAAGTCATTTTAGTTTTTACAGAAAAAAATAATTTCATATTTTAAATCCTTGAAATACTAGCAATCTATAAAATGAAGGACTCTCAATTAATTATGTATTTAATCATTATAATGGGTATATATGGGTAATGTATGATTGATTTGAATGCTTTGCTTTTTAGAAAATGAATTGATCAGTGTTCATTCTCTGTGAAATTTTCTAGTAATTTTTGTTCAAAAGATGTCAAGGAATACTATTTCGAAATCTGCTCAAGATCTGCCTTACTAATTTGTTCGCTTCATGATTTATATAATTGACTTATGATGAGTTTCGATCTAGACTGTCAGACCTTAGATCATTGAAAAACTAGTTTAAATTGAAGATAAATGGAGTGGTAGTGTTTGATTCCTATTTTAATGAATTCAAATGTCATTTTACCAAGATTTTTCTACAAGTCTATTGTATATATTAGGATGTAGGTGTAGGTTGGTGAGGAAAAATAAGAACACGTACACCCTAGTTTTCCTGGTGCCGCCACTACTATTTGTAAGTAGAAGGATGATGAAGAAATGTGTCTCAAAATAGATAGAATAAAATCATCTACTTGTGATTAGCAATAGTAGTTAAATCGTGTTTCATATTTTAATCCTACAACAATTGTGCGAACAGTTATTATTTAATAGTATTCAACGATATATACTGGATCAATTGAATAATGATAATTTATGTACTTATGTTAGTATTTATGAATAAGATTAATAGAAAGTATTCAATACGAATGAAGCTAACTTAATTTTAGGCTTGAATAATAAATCATCTATTATATTGATTCTTATTTTAATAATACTTATTCTTACATTAATTCATAATTAACAACTCTTATTCATTGAATAATTGATGTACTTTTCATTCGATATTATATCTTATTTGATCGATATCTCTCATTAACTATAAGCGACAAAAAAAAGAAAATCGACATGTATAATTTATCTTTCGTTTTTCCAATCAAATATCGAAGGATATTGTAGTAGTAGTACTCGAAAATGTAATTATTCACGTATTGAAGGTTACATCATTCACGCATATATATATATATATATAACTGCGTGAAACCGAATCAAACTTGTGATCGATCATCGCTGTCATCTACATGTATGTATATATGAAAATCAGTACATACAGGTATGATAATAATGATCATCATCACGTCTATGAATAAAACAAATTGACTCTTTTTTTTTTTCTTTCTTTGGAATTTTTGTTTTTTATCATTTCTTTGTTGAATCAATCGGTTATTATATGGATTAATATGTTTCTTATCAAGATGATTTCATGGCTATTGATCTTTTACTCCTAATTGTTGTTTATATAAATACATGTTTAGTTTCTAGTACTGTGAGAAATGACGTAAGTAAAGTAATATAACCTTGTAAATATTGATGCTGAGCAGAATAACATTGATGCTATTGATTTACTTTTATATTTTATTTCTCATTTTCTAACTAGATTATATTAGTAAATGTTAATTCAACGTGAGATCATGTCAATATATCGGCTCAGACTTACTTACATCTTTCATTTATGTATAAATGAAAAGACAGTATTATTTCATTTTCTCTTTTGATCACTGTCATCCACTCATTGAGATCAGACAAGATCTATGTTTAAAAAAAGAAAAATCTTTTCATCATTTTGATCGCTGTATCTTTTCTGATCATGAGTGTACTCCGATCTTATTATCATACTTGACATACATGTAAAACAAGTATATGTATAGTTGATAGGCCCTATGCACGATTGAACATGTATATTGAAATATATAATATACCCGATTTTTTGATCTCATACATACTATAAATTAATGATGTAAGAAAAAAAAAACTTCATGATAAGAATCATTTTTTTACTAAGCAAATGCTGTCAATATGTGTCCCTCATCTGCTTTTTGTCACTCTTTATCTTTCATTCATTCTTCTTGCTTATTTTAAATGTGTGTCATGTTTAATAATCAATAAAATAAGAAGAGTATTTCAAACATATATATATATATATATGTATACATATGATATTTAAAAAAAAGATGATGTGTATTTTTTTTTTGGTTCTCTTTCAATCGATTCATTGTAGATCATTTTTTTTCTTCTTTTTCAGTTAATAGAAATTGTATATGCATATGTTTGACCAAACTCTGTCATACTCTACTCTCAAGTGAATGTCTTATCTACAATGTTCGGTCAGGTAATTCTAAACGACGTATATAGATATAAGTGCGATTTGTGACAGTTTCGCTTCGCATACTTGAAAAAAATAATAGAAAGAGAATAAAAAATTGGTTTATGGTGACGCAACATTCTCTTAAAGCACGCGAAAGAGAGAGAGAGAGAAAGACAGAGAGAGACAGTCTCTCATTTTATTCTTCTAATCTTATTGCAAGTGCACGTATAAGGATGATGGTGATAATTTGTGTACATACAATTTTATTATATTTTAGAATGCATTGTTGACACAAACAAATGCGATAATAATGTGTTATATTTTATTCTAGTCGAATAATTTCGATGATGTCCGTTTTTATTGATCATTATCTTTTCTTTTGTTAAACATATAGAATTATTTTGTTATGACCTTATTACGCGAATGGATAGTACCATATGAATGACCAGAGGCAAGAGAATCGATTATATGCTTCAGCGTTTTATAACAGTTTTTCATCATTAATACAACAAGAGATAATAATACTTACTTTAACGATACTATTCTCCCGTAGAAAACTAGATCAATTCTCAATAGTACGCCCGTTTAATTTCATCTCTATTTTGTATTCATCAAATTGACATGAGCACGCAAGTAAGTGACACTAGGTAATAATTGATGTCTTCTCGGTCAAGTGTTTCTTTTTTTTTTTTTTCTATTTCATCTTCTTTCAATAATAATTTACCTCTTGATGATTATACAATGTATTTCTTCTGTATACAAATCAAACTGTTATTATTGTTGAAAGATCAACAATTATTAAACTCTTCACTATTTAATTGATTCGTATGATTATTTGTGTGCATGTGTTTTTCATTATACGTTTCTAGTCATATTTGGTACATATTACTTATGTAAAGAAATACAATGTTAGCGTTACTTATATGACACTCAATAAAACTGTCAAATATTCAACATTATTGTAATAAGAAAGTCGTTCAATGTATGAAGGTTAATCTCTCTTATTGTTATGTTCGCCTTTTTTTCTTCTATATGAGATGTTGATTGATGAAGATGAGGTTGTGCTCTGATACACTCGCCTGTCATTTTTTTTTCTCTCTTTCTCTTATATATTCATTCATCACTCGATCACCTTTTGTCTTTCTTTTTCTTTTTTTTTCGATATGTATCGATAATTTTTTTTAGATGATATTTTCATTTCTATATTTGATTTTATTTATTTCTTCTATTAAAAGTTGTCCATTAAAAACAGTTGATATTCATTCAGGTTGTTATTGTGGTATTGAAATTGATGGACGAAATTATATTCATTGTCATCCATATTCAATTTATAAAATACCTGAATTTACACGTTCATATATACATAATAAATTAAATTTATCAAATAATTTTATTGAATATTTAACAAATAAATCATTTCATCAATTAAAAGTACAACGTATTTATATTGAAAAAAATCCAATAAAATTTATTGATAAACAAACATTTAATAATAATCTTCTACATTATCTTGAAGAACTTTATATTGATACAATAAATAATGGTAGTTTAGAATTTCTTTGTTATGGTATATGGAAAAAACTTCGTATACTTAAATTATCAAGATTTAATTTAAATCAATATCAATATTGTTTTGATAAATTAATTTATCTTGAAAAATTAACTATACAATATTCACATATTGATATTATATCTCATCATATATATAAACTTCCATTTTTATATGAACTTTCATTAATTAATAATGAAATTGATTATTTAAATTTTGATGATCAATATTTAATTTATTCATCATCAATACAAATATTAAATTTAACATCAAATCAACTTCAAACAATACCCAATGATTTAAATGTACGTTTACCACATTTAATCACACTTGATCTTTC